AACGCGTCTTGAGGTCGGCCTTCGTCTGCGCAATCAACTCGAGCGAGCTGCCGGTGACCAACACGTCATCCACGTAGACCAGCACGAGCACACAGTGACCGTCGACAACCTTGATGTAGAGACATGGGTCGAACGCCGACACTTTGAAACCGATAAAGCATACGAACTCGTCGAAAGTCTCGTTCCACACACGTGAAGCTTGCTTGAGACCGTAGATCGCCTTCACCAACTCGAGACAGTCGAAGTCGCCATCCATCTCGACGCCTTCTGGTATCACGCAGTACACCTTCTACTTCATCACTCCGTAGAGAAAGGCTGTCACCACATCGAGTTGGTCCAGTGGCCAGTCGAAATACTTGGTGATCGCGATCACCATACGCAGTGTCACGTACTTGACCACGGGCGAGAACGTCTCTGTGTAGTCGATGCCGTACTTCTGCTTGAAGCCCTTGGCAACGAGACGCGCCTTGTATTTCTCGACCGATCCATCCGCTTTGCGCTTGATCTTGAACACCCACTTGGTGCCGATCGCGCCTTGGCCTCTTGGCAGTTTTGCCGCATGGAAAACTCCACGAAGATGCATCGACTTGAGTTCCGCCTTCACAGCATTTCTCCAGTGAGCTTGATCAGGACAATTGATCGCATCTTGAAAAGTCACAGGTTCTGCTAGGTCCGTTGCTTCCACTACGTTTGCACTTGCACGCCAAAATGTTGGAGGTGTCGAGTCGTCATCTTGATCGTGGACGCTCGCATCTTCTTCGTCATCAGACATCGTTTCTGGAGCACTTGATCGTCGTTTCTGGTGACGGTTGGAGACGTGTTCCGGCGCACTTGCTTGTTCCAATCCAGTTCGAGGGCGAGCTGAACGTGACATGCCGGGTCTTGCTTCACTCTTGCGCTTGCCAGTCTGCTTGTAGACGGTTTGACGCACGTCGTCCTCGTTGATCGCCAGGAGGTCGAGGTCCAACTCCGCATCTTCATCATCGTCACTTGGTCGGTCCATCGAAAAGTCAAAAGTCGATTCGTCGAAGGTGATGTCACGACTGATCACCACTTGGCCCACATCAATGTCGTACACTCGATAAGCTTTTGACGCTTCTTCGTAGCCCATGAACATCCCTTCACGAGCCTTCGGGTCCCACTTCAATCGCTTCTCCCTTGGTGTCAGGATAAACGCCCGACATCCAAACACGCGCATGTGCTTGACACTTGGTTTCGACTTGTACACGATCTCGAACGGAGTCTTGTGGTCGATCTTGGGTGAAGGCAGGCGGTTCTTGATGTAGATCGCCGTTATTGCCGCTTCAGCCCAGAAACACTTCTCCAGCTTTGCATGATGCAACAAGCTGCGTCCGATCGTGACGATGGTCCTTATCGCGCGTTCTGCGGTGCCGTCGGTCTGGTGTGCATACGGTACCGTGATCTGTTGTTCGATACCATGATTTTTGTAGAAGGTCTTGATCGATTTGGTCGCAAACTCATACGCTCCATCGTGCCGAACAAACTTGATCTTCGTGCCGAACTGAGTCTGAATCTTGATAATGTGGTTCTTGATACAGTCTTCACTCTCAGACTTGGACCGCAGACAGAAGCCCTTCATGCAACCGCTGGCTTCGTCAATCACAAGCAGTAAGTATCTGCTGCCGCCGATCGAGACTTGTTCCATTGGCCCGCAGATGTCGAAGTGCAGCAACTCGAACACACCATATTGGCGTTTGTCACGGTTGGTTGGGAATGGTTTTTGGACCATCTTTCCTTGCTGGCAACCGCGACACACACTTGGACCAGTCGAGTTGAGAGGTGCCTTGGCGTCCTTGATCATGCCGGTGGCCACCATCTTGCGCAGAACTTCGAGGGGTGCATGACCCATGCGCGCATGCAAGTCGATAGTCCCATTGCGTGTTGCTGCATTTGCCGATCGTTGAGGAGTCCGCAGCCAGTAAAGTCCATCGACGAGATACGCTGTTGCCACGACTTGTGTGGAATTCTTGCGTATCACTTGCATCTTGGACCCATCGAACACGACTTGGAACCTGCCACCCTTGTTGATCTGTGGCACCGAAAGCAGATTCTTGCTCATACTTGGTACAAACAGTGCGTCCTTGATCTCGATGTCGCGTTCGTCACCATTGGGCAGAACCACCCGTTCCATGATGGTTCCCACACCCTTGATCGCAGCCTTGCTGCCATCAGCCACTGATAGTTCGCCTTCCTCTCGCTCATTCAGGCTTGCAAACTTTGCCTTGTCGTTGCAGATGTGATGCGTCGCACCGCTGTCGACTGCCCACATCCCTGGCATATTCTTGCCCGTCGAAAGTCCAGCCTCCAGCGAAACCGCGAATGCAACTCGATCGTAGTTGTCGTCGTAGTTTCTGTTGATTCGCCACTGAACGTTGTTGGCTCCGCGTCCACGAGCATTGTTGCCGCCGCGTCGAGCTCCACCTTGATTTTCGTCCTTCTGCTTGGTCCAGCACCGCTCCGCCGTGTGCCCCAATTTCCCGCAGTATGTACACTGTCGAGGTTCACGCTCGGCACTGAACGCCTTCGCCGCGTCTTCAGTCTTCACCGATGTCGTCTTGTCACCTTGCCTCTTGATGTGCTTGTGGCAAAGTCACTACTCAAATTTTGTACGAGGATCGGTGGCCACATCTTTAAAGCGCCGCTTACTGGTGGAAAAGGAGGCCATGAGACTCGGCGATCCAATAAGGAGGTGGAAGATGATCTTAACGGGATCGGCGAACCGATCCAACTGTCGTTAGACTAATGGGTATGGATCGACCTGGGACGGAGCGATCTGGAACGATTTACATGGAACAATCTGGGACAAGGATCTGGGACCGGGTGATGGGATATGACTCTGCGACGAAGGTGTAACTGTGGTAAAGTCACTAATCAAATGATGGGACGTGGATCGGTGTCCACCCAGTTACTATGTCACCCACTGGCGGAAGAGGTACGCCTAGGACCAGGCGATGCAACGTGATTTGAGACGGGGCGTAGAAAGGGGTGATTCCAACGGTGCGATCTGGGACGAGGGACTGGATTGAACCGAACGACCACTCTAAAGGCTGATCAAAGGAAAGGATGTGGATGTTGAAGCAGAATCATTTGAGAAAAGTACGCCTGGGATCAGGCGATGCGACGTGGTTTGAGACGGGGCGTAGCAAGGGGTGATTTCCACGGTGCGATCTGGGACGAGGGACTGGATTGAACCGAACGACCACCCTTAAGGCTGATCAGAGGCAAGGATGTGGATGTTGAAGCAGAATCATTTTGATAAAGCATCGGAGTGCACACAATGAACGGAAGAACATATATGGCCGGATTGTACTGTGTCGATCCTCAACAATCTCGAATTGGGCATCAGATCGGTCATGATCCCCACTGATTATGGATGTATCGTTGATGATAATTTTGGATCATGACAAACATGCTTGTTGAAGGTCCATGAGTGATGTCTCAAAAGTTCAGATCGAAAGAGCTAGTGGAAGCCGGTTAAATTGACGTCGCAAAATGGATTTAGACGCCTTCGGCATTTGGGCACTCTTTTGGGCTTTTGGGTACCAAAAATGGGTATTTGGTACCCCATTTGGGATTTGGTCCTCTTTTGGCGTTCAGGTACGGTATCGGGAATATTGGCGCTATCATTGGAGTATAGGGCACGAAATTTCGACACGTGGCAAGGGGGCGATCCAGATTCAAGGCGATATCGGTTTGAAGAGTGACCTATAGCTAAGAATAGGCTTAAGGGTAGGTTGGATAGTAATTTGGTTGGTTAATAAACAGACTTGAACTCTACTTCTTCTGCTCACGACGCACGTTATCCCCCCCTCTTCTCCAGGCAAGATTGATTTGGCTTCCCCGGCGGGTTAAGGCACGCGTGTTACAGGGACACAGAAGACCGATCTTGGATTGTTGGCCAGGATCGAGAAGAGCGATCCCGGGATATCTGGCCCGGATCCATCAAGTACTCACACTCAACACAACTGCTAGGGTAGCAGCACACAACGGAAAAGGAAAAGGATTTTGGACACAGGATCGCGAGACGGCTCAAGTGGTCAGAAGATCTGGACAAGGCGTTCAAGACAAGACCGAGCAGGATCGAAGCGATCCCCTGGACAGATCGGCACGTTTCATTTTGGCGAAACAAGACACCGATCTACCCAAATTGCGCACTTCCGGCAAGATCGGCCGATCCCAAGACCAGATCGGACCGATCCCAAGGCAAGATCGACGCAGGACCTTAATTTGCTGAGTGAAGATTTCCGCACAGCAAAGACCCCGATCTCGAAGACAAATCAAGATCGGTGCGATCCAAGATCGGGATCGCAGAACCCCCGTTCGTGGTGTGAAGATTTCCGCACCGGAAGCGAACCCTCAACCCAACCTCTCAGCGAGATCGACATCTCCCAAGGCCGTTACGAAGAGCTCAAGCCAGCCCAACCGACGGGTACACAAGGTGAGCACAAGGTCATACAACAAGGCACGGATCGGAGTACCCCCTCCGTGAGTCGGCAAGTCTGGGCAAGTGGAAGATCGGCACTCATACAAGCAATTTTGTGAGATCGACTTCACCACAATGGTGCGCGTGCCCGGAACTTCTGAGGCCTCTGGATTTCACCGTGAGTCCACTGGCTAAGATGTCAAGATTAAGCAAGAACCTGGGATTGAAGTGTCAGCGACAAAGGGATCGACGCAGACACACAGAAGCACAAGATCCTCAGATCATCAGAGTTTTGGGAGGGGCTCGGATGAAATGAAAATGAAAGAGGAAGATCGAGAGATCGATCTGGAAGATAAACCTCAATTCCCTCCTAGGGTCCCTTCGGGGGCCACCGCAGATCGCTCTGCAAAGAGCGATCTGCTGGATGAAAGTCAAATGGTGAAAACCAAATCGGCGAAAGCCAAACCCCTATATCTTAGTCGATAGATCGCCCTATCTCAAGTTGAAGAGCACAATCGCGAGATCGACCACATCAGAACGATCCGCGACGAGATCGATGGGATCAGATGTCAAAGATCGCCAGATCGGCCCAACCGTGCAATCAAAGATCGGAGCCAAAGAGGAATACGATGAAACACCAGATAAGATCGCGATGCCAAAGACGGAATATAACCCAATAAAGATCGCATCCAGGGAGAAGGAGACGACGGGTGAAGCGCGGGAGCGTGCAAAATGGCAGTACTATTATGGCCAGTTGAAGACGCTGCTCAAGACGGACCCAGTGTTCAAGATGTTAAGGCCCAAGGTGATTGGTCCTCTGGATAAGCCGATCTAGGTCCCACTTCACGGGACCAACAAAGTTGACGAGATCAATGTGATTTTGCAGATGTTGGACGACATGGGTATCTGCCCTGACGCTTTTGATGGAGATGAACTGCTGAGTTGCAGCTTGGAACAGTTGAAGGACGCGGCGAATGAGTTTGAAGAGATCATGATAATGCTGGTGGGCAAAGCGAATACTCCTGAAGACAAGATCGGGACGCCCTCGGGCTCGCTCTGTAAACACCCCGCGGGATCGCCCCGCTACGCCTCGGATGGCTCCGAGAGCGAGTCAGATGGATCCATCAGCATTCGTCAGATGTCTCTAGGACCATCGGGGGAAGGTTCTTAAAGGACAAGATCGGACAAGCCAAGATCGACGCCTATAAGGGACAAGCCAAGAGCAACATGCCGCAGAGATCGGCCAGTACCCGCACTGGGCTGGAGGATCAAGAAGAGGGCGATCTAAGTCGGTACTTCAATTCAGCCATGAAGAAGTACGAGGCGGATCAACGTACAGCTCAGCGAATGAATCGACGGCCAAACCGCTACCCAGATCGACGTACTTTGCTCCAACCTTCACACGAAAACCTTGACATGCCGGATGTGGAGATGGAGTCGGTGGGGTCGGACATTTACCAACATATCCATGAGGGGGCGGAATACGACCCGGATGATCTATGGATGCCCGAACCACGGCGCCCTCATGTAGCCGCGACCGGTGCGACTACCGGAGGGGGAAGCATCACGCAGAGGATCAGAATCTCAGCGATTTCTGAGCTGAAAGAATTCTCAGGGAAGGATCGGGAAGAAGACAAAGCACGGACCTGGATCGGCAAAGTGTAATCAGCGTTTATCCGGGACCAAGCACCGGACGAGGAGAGATGTCTGGTCTTCGGTGATCTCATGGTGGGCCCAGCCCGCTACTGGTACCGACAGCTGAGTAGATCGACGAGATTTAATTGGAAAGAATTGATGAACAGTTTTCTTGTGGAGTGTGCGGGACACGGGATGTCCGCGAGCAGGCAGTACTACCATGCAAAGAAACGATCGGAGGAAGATCCTTTACAGTACCTGTATCGGCTTAATGTGATGGGAATGCAGGCGAAGATACCGGTGATGACTGGATTGCCAGCTGCGCGCAAGGAACATGTCAATTATTTCATTGACACCTTGGACGACCCCGATCTCTTCAATCAATTGCTACTGCTGAATGTAGAAGACGCGGAGGCCATGCAAAAGACACTGCACGGATATCAACAAGGGAGATCGCGTCAAGGGAAAGTGATGATGGGATCGTCCAAATTCAGGCAGAAGGGAACTCAGGGTCCAGCGCTGTCTAAGCCTGCACGAGCGGTAAGGATGGTCCGTACCGAGGACGTCTGCAGCGAGTCAGGATCGGACACCTGCGGATCGGATTTGGAAGATCGATTGAGATCGATCCATGTGGCTGCTACTGCGGATCGCCGTTCATCCCCCAATGACGTTGCAGCAAACGCGAGATCGGTCGACCCGAACACTCGTCAAGACTATCAAGATCGCAATATGCCATTGAAGCCGTGTACTCATTGCGGATCGACCAAGCATGGAAATCTTGGTTGCTGGAAGCGGCTCACTTGCCAGAAGTGTGGGCGTAAAGGACACCCCTCTGACAATTGTTTTTTCGTGTGTCGTGCTTGCGGTGAGATGCACGACCCGGGGAAGTGTCCCATGGAGGAGTTCTACAGCATGATCCGTCAGTGGTACGTCCCGAATAAGCATGCGGGGATGCTACCAGAGAAGGCCGAGAAGATGTTAAACTAGGACGCTCGCCAGGTTTGAATCTGGTACGAGCCGAGCGTTCTGGGCTCTGCATTATTGCATACGTGGAAAAAAAGAAGACAGATCGTGAGAGTAAGCAGGACATTGACGTGAAAACAAATATATCTCGTTCGAAGTTAAAACGTGTCGCTTCCGTGTCCCATCTGAAGCGGATCGATGAGTACTCACGATCTGAACCAGCTATGGAGATCGAGCTCGCTTATGGTGAGTCTCGCGGATACTGGAAACATTGTTCACCCGGGAAGTGATTCAAACAAGCGAAAGCCGTTGGCAAGATCAACAACGTAAAGCTACTCTGTTATTTGATTCTGGTGCTGAAGTGTCGATCATTGATGTTGAAAAGACAGCGGCTGTGAAGAAGACACCTCGTCAAGCTGCGTCAAGTGTTGAAGCAAGTGGAAGACCAAGCTTCGCTATACCGGTGGGTACCGGTATGTACCAGAAACGGCGAAGTCAGGAAATGACGTCATTGGATGACGTCAGTGGGTGACGTCACTGGATGACGTCACTGCGAATAATAGGCTTAGAGGTAGTATTCAAAGTTGCGAACTAAGTACCTATTATAAATATATATTCACTTTGCGTTTTGCACTCGGACCAAGAAGTCTAAAGTTCATCAGGTTATGAGCCCAAGTTCATCAGACTCTGAAACCGCCAACAATTCAAGCTTAGCTGCCATGGACGCCTCCTCCCTCCGCATCTCCAAGTTCGATGGAACTAACTTCCACGCCTGGAAGTTCAAGATGCAGATGGTGCTGGAGGAACGGGACCTATGGGAGGTCGTCAGCGGTGAGATCAAGGCGGAACAGTGCGAGACTCAGTTGGACCAAGCGACGTAGAAGAGGAAGTAAAGAAAGGCGATGGCAGTGATCTGTCTAGCCATGGAAGATTCCCAGCTACCGTTGGTCCGGTCGGCAAGTGGTGCATGCGACGCATGGTCAAGGTTGGAAGACCACTTCGAGAAGAAGAGTCTTGCCAACAAGCTGTTTGGAAGAAGGCGACGATGTGCTCGAACACATCAACAAGCTCAAGACGCTGGCGGAACAGCTAGAGGCGGTGGGGGCTCCAGTCTGCGAGGACGATCTGGTGATCACACTTCTCGGCAGCCTGAGTGACTCGTATCAATTCTTGATCACAGCTTTGGAGTCGCGCTCAGACACTCTTAGCTGGGAGCTCGTGACGTCTCGACTGCTTCATGAAGAAATGAAGCGGAAGGAGCAAGGAAGTAAAGGTGATGAAGCTTCGCAAGGTCAAGCGTTCATCACGAGGGACAATCAGCGCAAAGGGCGACCAGTGAAGAAGTCCTGGCCGTGCCACAATTGCGGAAAGACTGGTCACTGGATGGCGGAGTGCCCCTCGCGCATCCAAGAAAACACGGAGAGACACCGGCCACAGCGTGCTCAAGACAGCGGCGACCGCTATCGATCACAACGTGCAAACGTCGCTCAAGAAGAAGACTCGGGCGACTACCTCTTTTCGATCGGTGAAACGACATCAGCGAAATCGAGCGACATCTGGCTGGTCGACTCCGGGGCGACGCAGCACATGACGTGCTCCAAGAAGTTCATGCGAAACTACAAGGGGTTTGACGCTGTGGATGTCCATCTCGCGGATGATGGAATCGTCCAAGCAATCGGCAGTGGGGACATTGTCATGTCGATGAAGACACCCCAAGGGATGAAGAAAGGTGTGCTCACAAACGTGTGGCACATCCCAAAGTTATCCAGAAACCTGTTCTCGGTCGTCCGCTTCACCAAGGATGTCGGCCCAGTGACGTTCACGAAGGATGGGTGCTATGGAGAAGCGAAAGGGACCAAGTGGAAAATTGGTGCCCGTGAAGGTAAAGGACTGTTCAAGCTGCAAATGACTCCAGTGGCGCCGGAACAAGCAAATGCAGCCAAGTCGTCGGGATGTCAAGGGGGCACCAAGTCGTACCTCTGGCACCTTCGGCTTGGCCACATAGGTCACGATGGACTCAATTACATCGTGACGAAGAACATTGGAATCGGCATCGACATATCTTCGGTGAAGAAGTGGGACGTGTGTGAAGGTTGTGCTCGGGGAAAACAGACTCGAGTGCGCTTCCAATCAAACACTACAGCTCGCACCTCCAAACTCCTCGAAGTGATTCACAGCGACGCAAGCGGACCGATGTCGATGGCAACTTTCAGTGGAAAACGGTACTTCGTGACATTCATCGATGACAAGTCAAGATACTGTGTCGTCTATCTGCTCAAGAGCAAATCTGAAGTTGCGGCGAAGTTCATGGAATACGCTGCGATGGCCGAAACGCAAACCGGAAAGCGCGTGAAGTACCTTCAAAGCGACAATGGGGGTGAATACAAGTCCGACAAGCTGGCACGATTCTGCGCGGAACGGGGAATACAACAAAGGTTCACAACCCCATATACTCCTCAGCTAAACGGAGTAGCTGAGAGAATGAATCGCACGCTGGTCGAGTGTGCGCGTTGCATGATGGAACACGCTGGACTTGGAAAGAGCTACTGGGGTGAAGCAGTGATGACGGCGATGTTTCTTCGAAACCGCTGTCCAACACGTGCCATTCACCAAGACAAGTCTCCATATCAAGTGTGGACGATGAAGAAACCGATTCTGGCCAACCTTAAAGTGTTTGGATGCCACGCGTATGTTCAAGTGCCTCAAGGCAAACGCGCGAAGTTCGACTCCAAGTCATCACTCTGTCGTTTCCTGGGATACGCCGAACACCAGAAGTCATATCGATTTGAGGAAGTGTCAACAGGAGCGATCAAGATCAGTCGCGATGCCACATTCATGGAAGACAAGTTTGATGAAGGTCCGCGCAACTACAACGATGAGTCAAGTACCGTTGAGTTTGATGATCATGATGAGGACGAAGAAAAAGAAGAAGGTAAAACTGACGACGACATGGACTCGAGCGACGATGACAACGAAGACACCAGGTCTTCGAAGAGCAACATCAAGAGACACACGCGCACTCAATCACTTGAGAAAGCTACCGTCATTCCAAGTCCCAAGCGAAGAACGTACAGAGGTCCGTCGCTTGAGCATGTGTCAGCGGCTGCAATGGATTTTGAAGCAGCCTACATCGTTGATTCAGTGGGGGAAACGCCGACTACATTCAAGTCGGCGATGGAATCAAGCGACTCCGGCAAGTGGAAAGAAGCGTGTGACTCGGAGTTCGACTCGCTTCAGAGAAACGACACGTGGGAAATCGTGCCTCTTCCGAAAGGTCGCAAGGCCATCGGGTGCCGATGGGTTTTTCGTGTGAAGGAGAATCAAGATGGCGAAGTTGAACGTTTCAAGGCAAGACTTGTGGCCAAAGGATTCTCACAGAAATTCGGAGTTGACTATGAAGAAACTTTCGCACCGGTGGCCAAGTTCACATCGATTCGTGTGGTGCTCAGTATGGCGGCCAAGTACGGCCTAATGCTACATCAGATGGACGTCAAGACAGCGTTTCTTAACGGCTCCCTCAACGAAGACATCTACATGGACCAGCCGGACGGATACCTGGATGCAACACAGCCG